TATTCAACAAAATGAACGGTTCAATGAATTCACTTAAGAACACCTTTCCTCTTTGTAACCTGACTATAGATACATTGACAAATATTTAAGATTTTCTGCACTAAATAGGTGTAAATCCAGACACAATTCCATTTGTTGTGTAGAAATACCATATTACAAACATCATGGTCTGGTTTCACAGACAGGGCTTAGATTAAGCCAGGATTAGGCCTGAACTTTTATGAAAATGCCGTAGAAAAAAAAATTACTGGTGTGAATCTCAAAACAATGGCATATTTTAAGATATGTCAGAGCAAGTTGCTTTCAGTTAAAACAGCTCAAACGTGCATTTCAGTCTGGGACTAGGCTTAAGCCTGGTCTGTGAAACCAAGCATAAAAGTACCAATACCGCATAAGTGCATACCTGCCAGATTTAGTAATCAGCATCTCTGTGCCGAAACTGCTGAATTTGTCCCAAAGCTCCCGATCTTGCAGTGACACATGAACCGGCAGTGAGGTCAGTTCAGCTTCAGCACTGCTCATCCTGCCATCGGTGCTGTGCTGAGTTCGGCAGATGGGTTCCTTGCAGTCTAATCAATAATAGAATCATTTCACATTTTCATTTACAACTCCAGCACGACACTTGTTTGTTGAACGTTTTGAAAAACTCATAATACATTTAAAATAACCCTGAAATCGAATTTGAACTTCTCAAAATGTGAGAAATGAAAAGACAGTCTTACCTTGTGGATAATATCCATAGTTACTAGCTAAATGGTTCATTTGGTAAGGTAAGTCCAGCACAGGCCGTTCCTCTGGGAGATACATGACCATGAGACCGGAGCAGCAAACTGAAGAGACTTGTCCAGAGGTTTGTAGCTTCCAAAGCCAATGACCTGCAAGGACTTTCCTTAGGCTGCTACCTTTCCATCACTTCAAAGAGGACAGAGGTGTGTATGTGCACTTCTGTCAAAACATCAGTCTCGTCTTTGATCTGTCTCTTTGTCTCTCCCAGTTCCCAGTTTGTGCTCCAGCCTGCCCACATAGGTGTGTAGAAACAACATTCTCTGGATCTGGGGGAAAGGGGGGTGCATCTTACTCTGGAGGCCAAGGGTTCCCTAACACTTCCTCTAAACCCATACAGACACGCACATATTGGTGTTAATCACACCAGCAGTTTGTCCCCTCATTACTGCAGGAAGTCTTCACTATTTATTGGCTCTTGGTAGAACTGTCAAAGTTCAGCATTCAGTGGATAATTTCCAGTCTTAAACATTCAAATCATGCATTGAATATGGCTTCAGGTCATTTGCTAAGGGCTTCTCTATCAAAACACCCATTGAGTGAGGCCTGACAAAATAATCCTGGACAGCAGTATTTATGTATGGCAACTTAAGTGCATTTTTATACTGGTTTTGGATGTGTTTAGGCAGTTAAACACTTAAATCTACCTGGCTAAACACCTCCAAGTTTATTTTCAAGTAGTAAATGACTTAAGACTATACTCTTAACATGTGGACACGAGCAAACTTTTGTGGACAAAAAAAGGTTAAAAGAATGACAAAATATTTACTAGGCTTAACCATTTTTATCACAAATCACTGGTCAGGAAATTAGCAAGAATTGCATTTAAACTGTATAATGTAACAAAGCATGGAAAAGCCTTCCCCTTTGTTAAATGTTTAAGCTGTGTGGGTAAAGTTGCAGACTTTTTTTACAGAAAGAAAAATCAGTGTTGTTCCACTCAATTTTGATGGCTTCAAACAGTTCAGTAGTCGAAAAATGTCTCCCAGTTTGTTTGAATTTAATGTGAGGCCAAATATTGTTCCTATCTAGACTCCGACCAGGCCGAACATGAGCCTGATGATGGACTTGATCTCAAGCCACTTCTTGGATCTTTGCAATTTGGGCAGGAGCATTATCTTGATGTTGAAAAATAACATCTGATCATTCCTCTTTAGATCACTTTTCAATTATGTGAAGCAAGGCATTCTGCAATATTCTCCTGTAGCACCAATACCAGCAACTAAAATGACAGCGCTTCCTCCATGCTTCACTGTGGTACAGAGATGAATTTATTGTTATATTTCTCAACAGATTTTCGAAGACACCGCTCTGGAGCATCACCATGCAACTTGTGTTTCAATGTGATTCATTTCTCCACACACTCCCATATTCAGCCAAAAACTTCATTCTGTCGTTGATATTTTTCTGAGACTGCAATGGCTTTTTAAGTAGGGCATTTGCTTGCAATGCTTATTTACTGACCAATAATTTGCAGTTAAGATAATTAAAAGCTAGTGTTTAGCCATTTTGGGCTTGACCCATTTTTTTTTTTTGCCCAGGAGTGTGTATTGTTGTATAGCAATGTATGAAGCACAGCTCACATAGAAGTCATTTTCAAACAAAGCAGCTTTCAGTTGGTCAATGCCATTCAGTTCCGCATGACCAACATGAAACCGTTGCAAACTCTGCATTGGGAAATCTTTCATCCTTTTTTTTTTCCATAAACATTCCTGATGGAATGCATGGATTCCTATTAAAAGGACTATTACATTCGGATTCGACGAACAGAGATAACATGATGCACATTTAATCTAAAACAATAGACAGGTCTTTTTAAACATCTGACAAAGCTTATTTAAATAGTTTAGACTACTACTTAACAATTACAGGCAAATATGTTTGACATGAAACAGCAGTAAGTCTTCAACAGGGGTCCAGTGTTTGAGCTCAAACTAATTTTGAAAAAACATTTTAAAAACACTTAATAAAAAAATGTTGAGTTAATTAAGCTAATGTTTCATTGTTCCTCCTGCAATATTTGTTTTCATGCTAATTTAAATACTAGAAAAGTAAATAAAAGTACAATTAAATGTGCACATACTGTATTGTCATCAATGACAAATAAATACAAATTATTTTATATTTTACATTTAAATTGATGCATTTAGAAGACGCTTTTATACATAGTGACTTTGATAAGAGGTACAAAAGCAATTAGTCAAAGAGCCAACACTATTCGTAATATGCAATGCCCGGTTCATTAGACAACTAGATTAGAAGCAAGATAGAGAAGAGAATGCAGAAAAGAAAATGTTTTTATGGATTTTAATTTGTTTTAATGGATGTGAATGGAATGTAAACACATTAAATAGTACACACGTTATATGTCAGACTTATATGTGTAACACTAATTTGAATACATTATAACGGGGTCCCTCCTCAGTCTGTCTATCCACCAAGGAGCCCTTGGCTTGTCCTAAACTGTCAATCATTCAGTATTTTTCATTCAAGGCAGTTTACAGTAAACTACCTGATAAATAAGTCATTACTAATCATCTTGTTAAAGGGATAGTTCACCCAAAACCAGACAGTTGACAGCACCCATTGACTTGGAGAAAATAATACTATGGAAGTCAATGGGTGCCGTCAACTGTCTGGTTACCAGCAATCTTCAAAATATCTTCTTTTGTGTTCAACAGAAGAAAGAAACTCATACAGGTTTGGAGCAACTTAAGGGTGAGTAAGTGATGACACAATTTCCTTTTTTTGGTGAAATATCCCTTTAAGTATTTGCAGGATACAAAGATGCTGATATAGCAGGACTGTTCTCCAAGAATTGAATCTTCACACACATTACGCCAGCACTCAACGACCATCAAGTTTAAATGATCCCAAATCAGCTAGATCAGTTGAATACTTGTGTTTCATAAGAGGCAGTTTCTAGCACCCTTCATGTCTAACTGGCCACAGCCAGTGAAATTCAGTGAAATCATCACAAATTAACAGAAATGTCCATCTATTCGAGAGGCAGATAAGACGTCAGAGGCTTGCTACATGCTGGTGTAACTCAGATAGGCCACAATCTTGTTTTTATCAGTTTGCATGGCCCAAGCGGTCACAAACACCCCCCAACCCCACCCTAACTGAGAGTCAGTCTCCACAGTAACTGTGGGGGGCCACTCCCATGTTAGCCAATAGACCTTTAACATCTAGATGCTGAGGACAACTACAGATGTAGAATCAGGTTAATTTGTCACAGCTCACACATGGGTATGAGGACAGACACCCAGAGGTGATTTTTTTTTTTTTGTAGTCAATCAACAATTGGCCACTGTGATCCATGAATCATGCATCTATTGCACTATTGTAATGTCATGAAATCCATCTTGTGGATAAATTGAAAACAAAATTGTCGATTAGTAATATGTGACCCTGGACCACAAAACCAGTCACAAGGGTAATTTTTTTTAATAATAATTATAATTACAATAAATACCGGTAAGCTTTCCATTGATGTATGGTTTGTTAGGATAGGACAATATTTGGGATACAACTATCTGAATATCTGGAATCTGAGGGTGCAAAAAAATCTAAACATTGAGAAAATTGCCTTTAAAGTTGTCCATTTATGTTCGCGATTTTGCTGCATTCACTCACAAAAATATATTTTTTATATATTTACGGTAGGAAATTTACAAAATATCTTCATGGAACATGATCTTTACTTAATATCCTAATGATTTTTGGCATAATACAATGTATTGTTGGCTATTGCCACAAATATATGGGTCACATATGTTTTGGTAAACCCCTCATAGTCTCAATATAGACGTTTAAAATATTTAAGTTCAATCTCAAGTGGCTATAACTCAATATAAATATAAGATGTTTTAAGGTTATTTTATTGTGTAATTCGTACTTGTATTACAACATTTGTATTGTAATATGCACTTCTGGCTATATAACAGCTTAGGAAACCAATATAATATGCATAAAATATGTTTTTTGGATCTTAAATATTTTCCACCAACTATCTGGTACAATTTCAAATTTATTCCAGGGGTGGGGGAGTTTGGGTGTGGGTTCACACACTCGCGTGAGAGCGAGTCCTGGTACCAAGTATCTGTTCTGGGTCTGATATAGGGAATTAATCTGATTGGTCAGCAGAGTGAAGGGAAGAGCATGATAAGGATGGAACAGCCTTTGAGTCATCATATGCAAATGAGCAGTGAGCATTAAAACTCAGAACCAAGGGGGCAGAGTTTACGATCGCTTCACAGCATGGAGACAACAGACTTGTGAAAAGACGGCTAGAGGTGACAGATGAAGGCAATTAAAACTGTTTTTCAACACTTACCGAGGACGCAGACCTAAAGGTGAGTGTGTCACCGCTGACTATGAACTACAGGATGGCAGCTGCTCTTCCTTTCAGATGAATAGACCCATGTGGTGGATCTTCCACAGGTGTGATCATCTCTCAAGATTTGGAAAGGATTTCTGCAGGAGAACCTTTTGGAAACACAAATAAATCTAACAATTTAGACCATGTGAACTGATAATAATGTAGTTAAAGAAACATATATGGAAACTATTCTTTACAGTTTTTGTAAATCGATTTGGGATATGTAACATTTCTAATTCATTAACAACGGTCAAATGTTTCTAAAAAGAAGGTTCAATCTTTAGATAAACTAAACAATAGATCATAGAAAATGTCAGAAATAGTACCGTACTTGTGAATGTTCAGTGGATTTCTAAAGTGGAAGTGTTTCATCATTCTTGCCCTCTAGACAGGATATCATCGTATACTGTAAGTTCATTATTGAGACACTACAGTATAGATGATGTACTACCCAGGGGGGTCAATATGCCTCCGACAGTTTCCTGGACCCGCAAACACTTTGACAGAGAGTGGCGATTAAACCGTTACCATTACTGAGTTTAGTAATGGTAAGGGTTCTATTGCCTTCTCTCAAAAATCATCTGGATATGAGTGGAAAAAGCACGTGTCAAGTGAACTTCAGAGCAACGGATGATGCGGTCAAAATCAGACGAGTTGACGGATGGATAAAAAGACCAGAAAAACAAATGCTAAATGGATTAAATATACTAACAATGCAATTCTGATCCATTTCATCCATTCAACTTGTTTAGCCTATTGTGTGTTATATGAGACTGTCGTTGTGTGTCATTTCAATAAACATCATTGAAGGTTGAATTAAATGTTCAGCTTGTTTTGTTTTATTAATGTCAGTTGTGTTTACAAAGCCTTTCGTAATCCACTTTTGGCTATCACTTTTACACAGAGAGTCTGTAAAGGTGGCATATTGTTGATAAAATGCTTACACCTTTAAAAAAAAAAAAAAAAGTTTATTTATTGGCATCTATGGTTCAATTAAGAACATCCATGGAAACTTTCTATTGCACTTTATACTGGAAAAGGGGTTCTTTAGATTAAAAAATATATTTTCACACCAAGAAAAAAAAAAGTTGTTTAAAGAACTGTTCATTGAAAGTTTCTTTGGGGAACCAAAAATTGTTCTTCTATAGCATCACTGCAAAAACAAATACACTTTTTGGAACCTTAACTTTTAAGATTGCACTTGTGCTTCTGGGAGCTGAAGATAATATAAATGAGAATCTTTAATTAACTTCTTTTTTTTAAATCTTTTAAAAAAGCAATATACACTACTGTTCAAAACTTATGGGATCAGTATGATGTTTTTTTTTATTTACTCCTATTCAGCAATGATGCATTACATGGATCAAAAAGTGACAGTAAAGATATTTATAATTTTTCAAAAGATTCGTATTTCAAATAAATGCTGTTCTTTTGAACTTTCTAGTCATCAAATAATACTTTTTTTTTTTTTAAATATCATTGTTTCCTCAAAAATATTAAGCAGCACAACTGTTCTCAATATTGATAAAAATAAAAAATAACAAAAATGTGTCTTGAGCAGCAAATCAGCATATTTGAATGATTTCTGAAGGATCATGTGACACTGAAGACTAGAGTAATGATGCTGAAAAATCAGCTTTGGCATCACAGGAAATTACATTTTAAACTATATTCAAATAGAAAACAGCTATTTAAATTGTAATATATTTCACAATATTGCTGTTTTACTGTATTTTGAACAAATAAATGCAGCCTTGGTGATCATAAGAGACTTTTTTCAAAAAACATTTACAAAAAAAGATCAAACCTTTAAATGGCAGTGTTTCATAATAAAACAAATGAGATTTACACAATTAAATGTGTTCAGTGAATGAATGAGATTATTCCATCAACTCCATATGTGTAGTTCATAATATTGGTGTATATGTTTGTCTTCCTGCTGTAAAAGCATTGACTTCTGCTGTCTGTAGATAAAGTGACCATAACACAGGAAGTCCAGCAACATGAGAACTTTATTGCCTATTCTTTATTACTCAAAACATTTAACACTGACTAAAATTGATGCATGAATATACTCAACTGATGAAAAATGTAATATCACATAGGTTTAAATAATTGAAAAGAGTTCCACTTTGCTGCAGTAAGTAGCATGAACAGCCACAGCAGAGCAGCCCCGGCTCCAGTCCCACCCAAACGGTCCAGCCCCCTCTCACAGTCCTGTGGCCCACCTTACATGTTAGAGCTGAAGCCAGGCCTGCAGATGAGTGATTTCAGGCCAGTGTAATGGTCTTACGTAAGACCTTCAGTTAAACAGCAAGACTCCACTACAGATAACAGCCTGACCACACTGAAGACAATGAATAATAATGAATTAAAAAAACAAGGTCAGCCCTTGCTTCCAGAAATAAAGTGAACCTGTCCTGACCCTCAAAGCAGAACTATGTGATTCTATACTTTTGCCATTTATGAATATAAAGACATTTTTATAAATCAAAAGCAGCAAGATATGTAACTGGCACAGTCAGCTGTGATACTACAATTGTGCTATTGAAATTGTAACTGAAATAATTAAGACAACCATGTAATGTGGCTTTGATCAACTTGAATTTCAGTTTAGAGAAATGAAGAGGGTCTGTTGAGATCAACCTCACATTATAACCCAAAATATAACAGATTTTCAGTTCAAGTCCATTTCTTCACTTTTAAATCACTTTTCATGTTTCCGTATCCCTCTGTATGCATCAGTCTCTGACCTTCGTCATCTGAACTGTGAACCTCACTTCTGCAGCTTCGCAGAGATTTTTAAACGCACATTACGCAAGAAAATCTTCATTAGGTCATTTTCAGCTTCCTGGGTTATTCTGGTTATCAACTGACCTCCAGGACCAATAACCATTTTCTGCAAGAAAGAAAGAATAAAAGGTTTCATTTTATTATGTAGTATAATAATGTTACCGTTTCTTCAGCTAGAGAGAAACCGCTATTTGTTTTAAAAAAAATTCCACAAAATCTCTACTATAAAACTAAGGTTCCCTGATGGTAAAAACAGCAGCATGGGAAACTAGCCTTCCTAAACAAGGAAGGCTAGTTTTGTTTAATTTGTTTTTTCAGAAAACAGGAATCAGAGAGCTCACCATATGAGTGTCTTTCTTCACGTATAGTTTGATGGATATATTGAGCACCCCATCCTCACACTCCTTCCAGATTTCAATTTGCTGTAAAAAGACCAAAATAATAAGAAATAAAACTAATAACATTCCAGCAAACATGAAATAATACAAAAATGTCCATTCATATTTTGAGTAATGGAAAAGATTCTAAAGGATGGACGGATGGACAGACAGACAGATATATGACTAAGTTTTGTGAAAAAATTCCCAGTTTATAAATTATGAGAATCATACTACGGTTAAAATAGATACTGATCCAGTTTCAATGATTTGGAATATTCTTCTGAGCATTTATGCTCCCAGATGTGTGTTTTCTAACAGGAGAACAACATATTAATGATGAAAAAACAGACCAGAACAAGAAAATGCGAATATCGGAAATGAACAAATACGACTACATTTTAGTATATTTTAAAATGTAATGTATTTCTGTGATGGCAAAGCTGAATTTTCAGCATAAGTACTCCAGTCACATGATCCTTCAGAAATCATACTAATAATATACTGATTTGGTGCTCATTTCATATTACATTTATTCAAAAATACACTAATAATGTTTCACAATATTACTGTTTCACAGTATTTTTGATTAATAAATGCAGCATTTGAACAACTTTTATACAGAAGTGCATATATCACAAATCATAACCCACCTGCGACATAGTGTACGGCACCTCCTTAGGGAGATACTGTAGTAGTTTCTCTCTGATGGTGTTATTGCACACCTCCTCCGGACCCTGATCGGTCAGTACTTCACTGTGGTACTGCCACTGGCGAGGCTTTGCACCTTCGAACAGGTACCTCTATTGCACAAATGTTCAAACACAGGCAAATGAAGGCTGAGAAGCACAATGCTTGAGATTAAAATGTCAGTTTTTGGTTTTAAAGCAAATGTAATTTTCTTGTAGTCTTAAATGTGTTCTCTAACCTTTAATGTTTCCACATCTTCTCTGTCAAGAGAATTTAACATGAATACGTCCTTAAAATGAGGCCACCCCCTGCGGCTCCTCAGGGCCTTCAGCGTCTCTTGGCTCAGTCTGTCTTTGTCCTGACCCTCCTGAGACACCCCGTCCTGCGTGCTCTCAGAAAGAGTTTTTTCAGTGTTGTGTGGTTCAGCTGCTAATTTCATAGATTGTTTCACTGCGCCACGGATCTTAATCTTCTTTCCATTCACCACCCCCTCAGTCAGTTGTGCCGTGATGTCTAGCAGCAGCGTTTTGTTCTTCAGAAGGTCCACCTGTGCATTAAGAGTCGATGCTTTGCTTTATTATCTATTTTAAAGCCCCTCTAAGTGTACCAGCCCAGATGTAAATCATTGATTGAGTTTGATAGTGACATTCATTTCTGTGATGGCAATTGCAGCAATACAACCCCCCCTCTCTCTGTCAGACGAGAGATGGGACATCCAGAAAAAAAAGCGATGGTAATTTCCTCCACAAATTAATCCTACGGTCAAGACTGGGAGAGATCAATACAAAATGACAGAGCTAATACCTTATTGAGGACAAGGATGGCAGGGACATCAGAGTTCAGGGCCAGACATTTCAGCACCTCATAGTCCAGCTTACTGCGGGTCCATTTATCAGACATGTCAACTAACACCACCACTGCAAATACATAGGAGAAATGGAGAAAAACAAGATGCAGCACATGAGTCATAATCCAGTGGTTCTCAAATCTTTTTTCCTCCAAGGCCCGTCTTCGTCCAAGTCTATATTCGAAGGCCCTCCTATCTAATCTGAAATTGACCTTTTTTAGCATTTTAAGTAACATTATGTTAAAATTACAAAATGTACATAATTTGAATTATTTATTAATAAACAAGTGTTTATTCGAATGCACCTTTCATACGGATTAGATAAGCAGAGAGAATTTGTTTTAGATTTGAATTGATTTGTTTAAAAGTAGACATTTCTATAGATATATTTATCATGTCTGTGAGGCAAGTAGCATACGCTGAGTTTCGGTTCATTTTCGGCACGCACTCCAGTTCACGGAGACCGAGACGTCAGAAAGCACATCCTGTTTGTTTTCTTTATTTTACAAAGCACATCGGTTTGTTATTGTGGGTGTATTTCGAATTATTTATTACTCTTATCTGAAAGACCATAAATGACTGAGTATTTTAAGTTGTTTCTGCTGTTATCAGGAAAAAATGCAAGTGATCGTGCCGGCTAATACTTTAGCTTCCACACTCCGCACAAACACTTGGAAAGGCGCCTAAAGGTGATGATACACGGGGCAACTTTCTGGGCAATGTTGCTGTCAAGTGAGACACAGGGCCCACGACCGATCTAAAGTATCCAGATACTTGTTGCCCATTCTCAATGGGAAAGTGCCAAAGCAACATCGCTCGACAACATTGCTCAAAAAAGTTGCCCTATGTATCATCACCTTAATAATAGTGCACATTTAACTAGGTTAACGTTAGAGCAAGCAGCTAAGTAAAGTTGCTACTACTTACATGTTTCAAATGATAAGCCATATTTGAGGTCGATGGATGAAAGGCGAACGTTTAGATTTCCTGCCCGGTAATAATTACCACAAGGACCCACCGTTAACGATATGTCAGTCCCTCGCGGAGGGACTTTTTTTTCTGCGACTAACCGACTAATACAATTTTGGTTGACTAAGCCTCATTTCGTCGACTAACGTTTAGTTGACTACTAGAGGTCAGCCCTTTAACAACATGACACTACCATCACACACAAAGATGGATACTGACTTTGTGTCCTCTTTTTTTTAACAGACTAAAGAAATAAACAAGAAAACTAAGATTTTGCTACCTAGATCAGCTTCTTGTAGTGACTCAAAAGGATCCACTAGGAGCGATTTCTCCAGCTGGTGTCTGTTAAACACATAACAAAACAATCAATATTAGTTTCTGAGTAGATGTCTGCATATTAAACTGGGACAGGAGAAAGAATTTTTAACATGCAAACAATTATACACTTCACCTAATGTTATTAAGAAACTGCTTTACTAAATACTCACCTTTTAGCCTTTATTGATGTGGTGAGGCCAGGGGTATCCAACAGAATCTGATAAAAAGATGGTCAGAAAATGCAAATCAAACATAGGATAATTTCCTAAACAGACTAGACTTTTATTTGGACATTTAGCATGGGCTAGATGAGGTACTTACGATTTGTGTGTCATCCTCTGTCAGGACGCCAACAGCACGTGCTCTTGTTGTGTGCACTTTCTCAGAAACCGCAAACAACTGTAAGAAAATAGTGTTCTAACAGTTAAGACATAAGTTCTTAAAGGGGTAGTTGTTTTTGTTTTTCCATATAATAGTATAATATCACCTTCCGACCCAGCAACTGATTGGTCAGTGTGGACTTCCCTGCATTCGGTGAGCCCACTATTGCTACTTTAAGAGATTTGGCATTTTCAGGTTGATCAGGTTCCTTTAGCAATAAGGAAAATTGATGACCTGAGAGCAGAAAATACACACACACATACACACACACACACATACACAGTCACACACAAAAGCAGTTTAACGACTAGGCTATAACATCATAAAAATCCGTTAAGATAAGATTCAAAGAACTGTTTTCCACATGTTATCTCTAAAACAACAGTCTTGAAGCTTTGAGAAGGGCTGGAGATATTCTTACCGCTGTCCGATGAAACAGAGACAGGGTGATGACAGAGACCCTCATCGGACACAACCGGTCTCCCCTTCTGCAATTTGTCCAAAAAAGCATCTGAAGACACCAAACTGGCCGGAGTACAGTGAAAGAGACATTTCCTTACTGTCTGTGGACGGAAATCTGAGCAACCTGTGAAGTGAACAAATAAAGGACAAGCGACAGGTAAAATGAAAGCTATTACGTGGCTGACGTTGTTGTTTTTCTATTAATTCTGTTTTATTTCTGGTGGCGAATAAAACTAAAAACAACCAGTTTGCCGTCTAGCATATTCTTCAAAAAATCAGCTCGTCTATACGATATACAAGTACAGTAAACAAACATTGTATAATCTACTAATCACCTGATACTCGCAGATACAGTGGCGATTGTTTTGGAGCTGCTGTCAGTTTGCGGATCGTTGAAAATAGCAGAGATCTGCGTACAAACGTCTCGTAAAGCCGTAGGGTCATTTCTGAAATCCGTTTCCACTGCACAAGTGGATACTTTCAAAACGTTTTGCTTATGTTAACCCTTGGGTAAGGTTATTCTACTCTCCATTTTTATTTACACATGTGTTCAGGGCGCAGACATGTTGCTTCTATCGGGTGACCTGGAGTGATGAATCTTATTACACACTACTGCCATCTACTGTTCAGGCGCCGTGACGAACGCGCGACTGCTAGTCTAGTCTTCATTAATTATTAATATTTTAATATATAGACCGCAACAGCTTATGTTAATAAAAAGCAAGAACCTTTGCTATCATTTCAGCTAGTTAAAGAAGAATGACTATAGCGTGATGGCTGAATATTTGAATATTTATTTTGACAGACAGCTTGGAGTTAAAAAGGTTGGGAATCACTGTATGATAAGAGACCGGCCTGCTGAATCAAAGTTGTTGTCAGGTTTGTGATAAAAGGAGCCTATTAGGACCAGAGAGCTGAGAATATGATCCCCAATCAGAGCAGCTGATCTTGTTTTCATCCGCTCAGGTAAAATCAGAGAGAACAGATGTGTTTTTCCAGCTCCCATCAAAAGCAAGTCCACCAGGAGTAGCGCAGAGCGGAAAAATGCTTCCACTGGGGAGAAGAAAGGATATCAGGTGGTTCACAATCTGTCAGCATATCAGCTCAGAGAAAACGTGCAAAACCCAACACATTCAGGATGCAAGGAAAATTAAGAGTTTGACTGAAGTAGAGAAAAAGCCACATTAAATCAATGAACAGACACAAATATCAGATACAATCACATACAACATGTAGGCCTACCATTCACCTAAACAAGACCTCTGCTCAGATAGATTTGGTCTGTCCAAATCTAGAGCCAAAAATAGGTAGAGCCAGCCTACATGTTAGCACCAGAAATTATAGCCGTAGGCTATAGATAAATGCTAATCCAACATTTATTCTGTGATATTTGTATTTTAAAGCACTAATTAGGTATTCGTTAATTACAAATGAATGTCATAGAGACATTTTGCAGGACCTTTAAAAATCTTTGGTGCCATAATTAGGTAGGCCTACTATTATTATTGCTGTATCAGATAACGTAACCTAATCTCATGGGATAACGTAACTCTTTTACGAGGTGGTAATTTCATTTGAATTATTCATATGATTTGAAATGTACGATTGCATGAAGGTCCACCCCTAATTGCTGAAGAAATGCAGTCCCTATCATTCTTCAGGTTTTTTGAGATGTGGCCATGCGTTACATTCACAACACACACATCATCTGTAATTTTGAGGTCTCATGCAACCACGAAAAAAATGTCCACTCCACAACTAGGTCACCATTAGCAAACTCTATAGACATGCTTCCACATGGAACTTTTTGAGTAATAACTCCTTTACCACCCATTACTGCCTAGTGCTATTATGTATACCGTAACTTGGACACATAAATACTGTATATGGCCTTGTTGTTCTCTTCTCTTAAAAGACTCCTTGTTTGCATGAGCTTTGTGAGATGAACTTTCTGACCGGTGTCATGTGGGATTTTATGTCTCTTTGTCTTCCTGGAAACTGAATCCTGGTAATTTACCTCTAAATTCTTAGTCTTCATTTTCACATAAGTCTTATGACCATCTGAATATTCATCCTTTAATTATATGGTTTTTATCCAGAAAAAAACAGAGCCTCTGAGGATCAAGGGCTGAATACGTTAAACATAATGTCACATTAAAATAATTAATTTGAGTGTCATAATTAAAATATCACAAATAAAAAATCTCATTGTAAGATTTGTAAATATGCAGGTTTTGGTCTTGGCTTGGATCATTTTAAATGGTTAAACAAATAAGAGAAGTTGACTATAACGAAAATAGTTCTGACAGGTCTTGTGTATATATATATATATATTTCAGTAGGTCTCTCCTCATCTTTTGCAGTGGAGACAGATACACACACTCACACACACACAAAGATAAATATGTCCCGCAGTGACAGCACAGCACTATACGACCTTTCTGCAGGCAAGGAGGAAAAACAAAGCTGCAGAGATGTTGAGTATACGACAGGCGTATAACAGGAGCTGGCCGAGCCGTGCTGGGTAGCTGCTACTCAGGCACAGACTTGCTCAGCCATTACACATGATTGCAGCACAGCACACAAAGAAACGCAGCTGGGGCATCCTCGGTCACATCCTCATCAAAACGCTTTCGAGAGGATCATTTTAAAAAGCACCCAGAGGTCATATTTTCCATCCCTGATTCTAAGTTCGCTCTCTGATTGGAGCGGGAGAGAGAAAGACGGAGAAAGTAAGAGAAGGGAGAAAAATCATACTCTATCAGGATTTCGCAATCAATACAACTTGTCTGTGAAGTGGATCAATAATGCATCTCCTTTGAAACAGTCAATCACGTCAGAGTTGGGCATAAAAAGCATAATTAGGACCACCGTTCCTTAAACATCCTGCCTTGAAGTCTTTCAGGGCCAAAGAAAGACACCATCTTGCGTCATTAACGTTGTATTATTGTGTGATGAAGCACACTGCTGAGCACTTCCCCTCAGCTGCCTGAGGCTCTGTGGGTGGAAAAAATGACTTTTCTACTGGTCTAGGATCAGCCATCATAACCTTAATAATTGAGCTTCAAGCTCAAGATTTCTATATTTCATTATTCATGTGCACATAATGGCTTTTTCTTTTGAGAAAGCCTTGTGACCCTGAAATGATTTCCGAGCATGTTGAATGGCCTAGTCTGAACCAGTGTTTTATTATTTCTAAATGGCAAAGATGAGAATAATTAGTCTTGATCGCCACACAGTTCTGCCTATGAATCACACAATGCCTTGATAATGATAATCATGATGACGAGTTTCTGAGAGGATGTGCGTCAGGTGGGATGGGTGGCATACCAGTTTAAAAGCATTATTCATTCTATCAAATGCTGTTTTAAAACTGCAGTGGTCCTACAAATGTTGTCTGATGGTGTCGCTGGCCGCTTGAAGGACCACACATTGAGTGTTCAAAATGTATGACTTTTAGCAAGTGGAACCAGAAAAGTAGGGAAGGAGGGAAATTCAGTTCCTTCCTGTTACAAACCTACGTAGCAATGTAGCAAATTTGCATAATGCCAGCCTATGGTCTTCATTGGCTGACAACGAACAACACCTATTTTGACCCGCCTTCAAAAACTGTAGTAGTAGCTGAGGCCTGGAAGAGTTTGGTTCGTATTGTTGACATGTCGAGAAGACTGTTTTCAGCACTGCGAATCTGCTTTGTATGCACTTCAAAAGGATGAGGACTTGATTTTATGGAATTGGAATTTATATGGAAAAACCTACGCCATCATTCGTATCACTGTGTATCAGGCATTTCATTTCCGACACAAGCGGTAGACCAATCACAACAGACTGGGCCATCTGACCAATCAGAACAGATAGGCTCTCAGAAAGGGAGGGGATTAGAGACTAGAATCTTTGAACAAACTGTTTTCAGACACTGTAAGAAAAGAGGTTGTGTGCAGTGTATATTATGAAAAAATAAAGTGGTTTCTGACCTATTGTCGAAGACCTCCAAATCAAAATAAGAATATTTAAAACAGCATAATGCCCAATAAAAAAAATATTGGGTGATGACCGATATGATACATGTATTGTGCATCCTGCCTAAGAACAACTTGACATAATGAACATGAAATAATATCTCAGGTGAAGACGTTGGTGTAAAGTGGGAAGCAATGAGTCTGTTCAGGATCAAGGAAGGAATTACTGAAGATAGACTGAGTGTTTTAATTCAGTCTGAGAGATGACTTCCCGAAAAGGTATTAATATCATTCCTCCGATCCTAAGCTGTTTTAGGTGTCAGCATACAGGACATGTAGCAGGAGTGTGCAGATGGAAAATGAGATGTGAAAAATGTGATGGGGAGAGCATTTTAAATGTCAAGTGACTGATGGGCTCCACTGTTGTAACTGAGCTGCTTTCCATAGTGCAGCGTGTATGGAGGATGTCAAGTATAATCGAAAGCCTATAGGATGTACATACATAACAATATGGCAAGCTGAAAGTTTGATGTGTGGAGGCATTGTTGGCATGTGGGAACAGAAATGATGTGAGAAATATTTTGACAGGGCTTGTGTGGGATGGAGTCAGAGGCTCTATTTCTATCTATCTATCTATCTATCTATCTATCTATCTATCTATCTATCTATCTATCTATCTATCTATCTATCTATCTATCTATCTATCTATCTATCTATCTATCTATCTATCTATCTATCTATCTATCTACCTATCTATCTATCTATCTATCTATCTATCTATCTATCTATCATCTCTTTCTGTGATAAGAACATTATTTTGAGAAACAGCATGAATTATTATTTGAGTAGGCTACGTGCTGGCCTGGGACAGAAAGGGTTAATTCTTCACATTGGGGTGTATGAAAGTGGACATTTAAAAGAGTGGAATTTACTGCATTTTAAAGGGGTAGGGTAAAGAATATTAGGGGAGATGTAGGAAAATTTGATTAGGAACAGCTAGTGCATTTCATGTTTAGGCTTGTCTGTCCAAAAAACAACAACAGTTTTAATAGTTTTTCTTGTCCTCTAATGTGGATCCTTCGTTTTAACACACAAATGTGATACTTTACACCTAATGAGTTGTGTTTATACTCAGATTGCATATTAGACCGGTAGGTGACGATATGCACACTCCGCTTGCGTTTCAGCAAAAATCAACAAAAGAAGAAGAAGGCTTCCGGCAAAATGGCGAACGGAGTGCAATTGTTATGTTTAGTTCTAGTAAATGTAAAATTGTATTTATTTCCCACAGCTATTTTCTCACCTGTAGGACGTTTAAGCACAGTAGATTCGTTTCCGTTTGAAGCCCCGACGGTTTTTTTTTTTTTCAGATTGAAAATCTTTTAAATATCATGGACTATTTGGTAGCCTATAGCCTACCTGTCGAGTCCGGTAATGTATGATGCAACTGTCAAAGTGCAACTGTCAAAGTCTCAATATTAAAAACATCCATATTTACTTCTGGAATGACCAAGCGTATAGTCTCTGAATCGTTTTTTGATTCGCTTTGTAATTATGACATTATCATGAAAAAATAGCCTACGTAAATTTGCTAACAAATAACAAATCTGACGGGTTTACATCTGTCTG